GTTTCACACAAATGCAAACTTTGCCATTGTTTTGCTCATTTTTCAGAGACGTTTTTCCACTAGGCATTCAAAATTAACTGGCCGACTTCTGATGTGAATCACTATTTGGAAAATACTGAGTTTTCACACAAAAAGTGAAATTTCCTCAATATTTTCAGTGTTGCGCGGTTTTGGAGAAATAATCGGCTCAAACAGCTAAGCAAAGAGCTACTGCCCTTTTTTCCTGCCGCTGGATAGAGAATTGAAAATCCCATTCTCTAAGTGAAAATTGAATCAGCAAAAAGCCAGTTTTCACTCAAAACCCGAATTTTTAGCTTAGGCGATTTTGTTAAAAAAACCCATTCACAAGTTTTCACGCAAAAGCAAATTAATTTCAACATTACACGTTCAGCTCCAACTTAAGGCCCTTGTTTCCGAAGATGTCGCCACCTTTTTACCGATATTTCAGGCAAAAATGGCACTTAAATATTACCAGCTTGTACAAAAAGGAGAAAATTGTGCATGCTTTTGCTGTTCCGGGAATAGAGCAACTTAACACAAAAAATGGCCCTTTGGCATTAAAACCTACTCGTCCAGAACATAAATATTAAATCCATTTTGGATTTCCGGGTTAAAATTTCCCAATTTAACGGGAATTTCGTTTGATTAAGCAAAATTCTCGTGATCCAATTATCCCAGGCCAGGGCGACGAACTTGTTCCCGTAACTTCTGGGCGTAGCTCACTAAAATTTAATCAGCTCCACTTAATTAATTGAGCTCAGTAGTGCTTTTTAATTACAACTTTACAATGCCCCGAATGTTTTGCATATTTACCGTTCATTTTTCGACGACTAATTCGTTTTGGGTGGAATTTCCGAAGCCAATAAAGCCGTCAAATTTAATCAACCAACGAAAAGTGTCTTTACGGATACACCCTTTTCTCATCTAATGAAATGAAGACTTTTCTAGGGCACTGCCGGTAGGAATTTAGCAGCAGGGAAGGGCGCTTACCTAGATTATTAAATGGGTACGATGAAAAGCACATTTCTTGGCTTGAATGCGGCGTGTAGAGTGAAAGTGGGGTGTGAATGCGATCTCTATATTAACGCGAATATTAGGAAACAGCCCCCCATCATTTTGAAATGCAGCTGAATAATGGAGGTTCAATTGATGCCCTTTTCGTGTGCAAACTTTATAAATTGTACCCACTGTGCTGTCTGCTTTTAACCCAATCAATTCCTGCATCAGAGGACTAATTTATCAAGCTGAATAAATCTTAGTCACCTGAACAATGTACATTCTCAATCTCGCACACACACACCCTAAGAAATCATTAATTTTCCTTCGTCTCTCCTCACGAAAGACAATCGGGCCTTATGTCTTTTCCCATCGCCAGTTTTTGTTGACAGCCTTGTCGACGGATGTGTTAATTAAGTTAATGAACGTCTATTAGGGAAAAACATGTCCTAGACCGTCGTCCTGCTTGTCCAATAGATATACAACCAATCGGATAATTCCGTACATTTCATCTCTCGGAACTGGCTGAAAAAACGCTCGGTTGCCTCAATTTTTAGCAATTATTATTAAGCACTGGAGGCCCATTTTCCGGATTTTACCGCTTAATTACTGCAGACGAAAACGCTTTAATTGTTGACTCAATTCGGCGCGCGTAAAACAATTTACTTTATTAAGTAATATGGTGTTGTTCTTAAACGCTTTCTTATTACCATATTTGCTGGCGTGTTAATTACTTGGTGCCTTCCCAGGTTTATATATTACATCATTATTAATATTCGGCCTTTTTTCCTTCTTCAATTCACAGAGTAATTGCTTGCTTAATATGGTCTCAGCATCGTTTGGCCAACTGGGTCAGACTGGGAAGGGTTTGCGATGCAGTTCTTTGTTTCAGATATTTTGATGATGGACATGAGCAGTGTATTTTAAACCGGAACTGCGGACGTCTGAAAATGATCAAATCACGACATTTTAAAAAAATCGACAGATTTCTCGAACAATTTTTGCTCATTCATCAGCACTGATTGAGAGTGAGCGTAACTATGGGGAAAACCGTATGCTGTTTCCACGTTAAATGTTTTTGCATTTCTCTTCATTCATAGACCGTTTTTTCATTCTCATCGTGCTAATTTAATCTATAATTTTTTACGCCCTGCCAAAATGTGTGCGTTGCATAATTGAACTAACGAAAAATCAGCTGAAATGTGCAATCAAAATTTGAGCAAAAATCATGTCTACTTTTGCCTAGAAAAACACACCTTTCATATGACCCAAACTAACCCAACCTGCAGCTGAATCCAAAGTTCAAATCTAATTATTTTTCGTCATGCTTAAAGCATGACTTTATAACGGACCAATTCGAAGCTCAGGTTGCGTTTCAACTGAATCCCTTGAATAAAAGCATCAGTTTTTTTAATTTTCAGCCGATCAACTTGGGCATTTTTCAAAAAGTGGCATACAAAATAAGTCTTGGAATGCCCATTAGTTTCCTGGCTGAGAGCATGACAATGACTAAGAACAAGCAGAATAGTTTCGATTTTCGCTTAAATTTCCTGCTGTTTTGCTGTTAAAAAAAACATAAAAATCACGTTAGTTTTCCCTTCCTAACTAAGAAAGGCCCTTCGCCTAGAATCCACGTATTTTATAGAATACCTGTGTAACAATTTGGTCCTTCGAGCGGGATTCACCGAACATAATTTGATCATTCGCGCAGGCAACAGAGTAAACTTAACAATACTTTGCCAACTCAGAAAATAAAAAAATGTGTGGTGAAAGTCGGTACGCAAAATCTGCCATTCCCAAACCAAAACACGAACTATAGACACACCCACAAAAAATATGTATTAATGGCTTAAATATTGATTTGTTACTTTTCAGTTAACGTCTCAATTTGGGCAATTGAACAACTGAAAACTTCCGCAAAAACGCCTTGCAACTGCTACCGCAACTTTCCTCAATCAGCACTCCAAAATGGCAATTTCCATTGGGCAAACCAATATTCTGATTCTGCATTTTCCATTCGGGATTTTTGCATAATATTTACCTTTTTCCAGCCGCAATTTCCTTACTGAACCTTTCAGTCGAAGCGCCGTTTGAGCGTTTAACTTTAAAATGATGACTATTGCAGTTGAGCTCTGCTTAGGAAGGAAAGTACTTGAACAAATCAACC